CATGCCAGGTACGCCAAAAATCGACAGATCTAAGCAGAATTGTCCAGTGAAACAAGGGCCCTGGGACATACAGCTTAACAGGGCTACGGGATCCTCAATTCTTGCGTCAAAGAGAGAGAGAAAAAAGAACACTGTGTAGAAACTACATCGTTTTCTACGAATAGTCGGAATATCTGAAGACGGTTCCAGAGACTGCCCGTGTAGATTCACCACAAGGTGCAAACCCCTGACGCTGAGGTTGTCGTTGGCGTGGAGACAGGGACAGAGACAGAAACAAAGACAAGAAAAGTCCGGAGACAAAAACTACGAGAAAATTTTGGACAAAGTGATAGAGGGGGGAAAAAGACGCGAATCACGCCAAAATCTAATAGACAGATATACACACAACAAGGGACACGGGAGCAGATAGGGGAGTCCAGTTGAACGAGCCCAATGTCTGCGGAAGCTCTTCATGCCTTGTTGACCACGAGGGCAGACTTGCTCAAGGATGACACGCTGACGGAGAAAAAACGCGTTCCTTCAACGGGATCAAGCGTCTCAGGGAGTGAAGGAAGCGTGGTGATCACAAGAGAGAACGGTAAGCCGCAAGATCAAATGTTGAAAATCAGAACCAAGAACCTGTCGCTTGACAACAACGAGGAGGATGACTTCAACGACTATGTGATAGAGGATCCTCTTCCGCCGCCCAAGGAGTTACATCCAGACAAGCTCTATGCGCTGTACGCCTTCAAAGGTGATGATCCATCTCACTGCGAGCTTGAGAGGGACGATGCGGTGGTTCTGTTAAACGACCAGGACTCATATTGGTGGCTTGTAAGGAAGGAGAAGGACTCTAGCATCGGATTTGCACCTGCTGAGTGCCTGGAGACATACGACGAGAGGCTGGCAAGACTGAACTGTTGGAAAAATGAAGAGATGGAGAGATCCTCCAAGGAGACGTTGCAGATCTTCATGGATAGATCGATGGACAGGTCTAGAAATAAATCTGTGACATTTTCTGAGGAAGTTACAGTTACTGAAAGAGAGCCATACCCCGAAGAAGAAGAAGAACTAAGTGATGCTTCAATTGATGAGCTCATCTCTGTGAAAGATGATGGTCATTTTGGAATACTGCCGACAGATTTGGAACGTGATGAAGCGTTCATCGAGACCAATAGTGATGCATTGGGCTCAGACTTTGTTGTGCCCCCATTGGTACTGAAGAAGAATCAGAATAAAAAATTGAGTGACGGCTTTGACCCGGAAATTGAAAGTCCTCTCTCACAACCACAAGCATTTTTCATCAACTCGAATGGATCGGGCTCAATAGGTACATATTCCCCATCCTCTTCAGAGATGGATTCGCCAGGAGATACACCAAACTTGAATAAATACGCACGGAAATCTGTGCCTGACAGTCCTGAAGACTATGAAAGACGTGGTAACATCCCACAGTCGAGGAGAACCAGGGATATTGCAAAGAGCATGCAAATGCTAGACGACCTGATCAATGAGGAAATGGAAACCACCAGAGCGTCGGGGAGTTCAACCGAAGAGGAAGAAGACGTTACGATCACCACGGACTACAACCACAACAGGCTATCTCCACCTATAGAGCTCAAAAATACCAAAACCAAAAACCTCTCAATGCTCACGAACTCAACGAATTCTAACTCTAATGTTAGTCTGGGATGTACTCGGTCTGACAGCACTGCAAGCTCTTCATTAGAAGTACTTCAGGTACCAAAATTGCATGAACAGGTACCGGAAACGATACCTATTAATCCACAAGTTGAGGAGATGTTCAGATTACCGTTCGGCAAGATGGATGAACTAAGTCAAAAGCTGAAGGCATTACATATGGAATTATCATGAACTCTACGTTATTTACTACAAGAACCATTTATTGTAAGGTCTACACTTGTTCACATTATATAATATTATAATAGGTATCATTATAATAAGCCGGTTACGTAAGCATGCTCCAGCGTGTGGCGCCTACCGTGGCGAAGAACATGTGTGTGTTTACCAAAAACAAACAAAGCAAAAAAAAAAAAAAAACGGCATCTCATCGCATCTTCAAAAAAAAAATTAAGACCTAAAAACCATCACCTTCGGTCCAACAGTTTGTTACCACCCGTTAGCCAAAGCGATATGTCGTGGGTTCCTTCTCCAGAGGTTGTGTCGCAGCTGAAGCAAGTGCTTGCAGCAACGCTGTCGGCCTCAGCTCAGGTGCGTCATCAGGCTACCGAAGCTCTGTCACAAGGTAAACAATTGGATGATTTCACCAATTATTTGTTGTTCATCTTGGTGGAAGAATCAGATACACCCGCTGAGATTCGAGCAGCCTCCGGTGTTACACTCAAGAATGATCTGCGTAGAGATTTCCATCTCGGTGATAATGAGTACCTCTTGTCAAACGTATTCAAAGGCTTGTTAGCACAGAACACGCTGGTTAGAAATATCACAGGTAATGTCATCACAACGATATTTGCCGCTCTAGGTGTGAAACAATGGCCTAATGCATTGCCACAGCTCTTGGAGCTGGCTCAGAATGGTGATGTTCTGGCACAAGAAGGTGCAACTGGTGCATTGGCGAAGATTTGTGAAGATTCCAGTCATATATTGGATACCGAGTACAATGGACAGAGACCGTTAGATTTCATGGTTCCCCAGTTCATCCAACTTACAGCTTCCTCATCACCAAAAGTCAGGGCCAATGCACTGTTTTCCTTGAACCAGTTTGTTCCATTGCAAACACAGGGTTTCTTGGTTCATTTGGACGATTTTCTAGGAAGATTGTTTCAACTCGCAACAGATGAAGACAAAGACGTTAGAAAAAACGTCTGTTCTGCCTTTATTGGTATCCTGGAGACGAGACCGGACAAGCTCACTCCACATCTGGAAGGAGTCATTAACTACTCTCTTCACTCTATCGAAAATGAAACAGAAGAAGAAGTTCAATTGGAAGCCTGTGAGTTCCTTTTCTCATTAGCAGGTTCTGATTTTGCAGAGAGATTGAGTACAGATCTCTTGTCAAAGATCTTGCCAGTTCTGTTGAAATCTATGGTGTACTCGGAGATGGATATTCTTTTGCTCGACACAAATGATGATGCAGATGATGAGGATAAAGAGGAGGACATCAAGCCAACAAACGTCAAGTCAAGAACTGCTCAGAGTCATAC